GGTTTAGGGTTTAGGAGTCTGTTTTGGGGCCTTTTGGCTTTAAGGGGTTTAGGTCTTCCAAGCGTCGGCAGCCATGACGGGGCAAGGATACAAGGAGTCACCTGAGGCGCCGCAGGCTCAGCTAGAAAGGGGCGCCAGCAGCTTGAGGGTTTATTGTTTAGGGGTTTAGGGTTTGGGGGTTTGGGGTTTAGGGTTAGGGAGGGTTTTAAGATAAAGGGCTTAAGGGTTTAAGGGTTTAAAACAAAGGGTTTAGGGTCTAGGGTTAGGGCTCAGCGTTTTCGGGTCGAAGGCTTTGGGTTTGATGTTGAGGCCTTTGAAGGTTGAGGGTATTGGGGGTCGAATGCTGCCCCCTAAACCCTAAACCCTAAACCCTAAACCCTAAACCCTAAACCCTAAACCCTAAACCCTAAACCCTAAACCCTAAACCCTAAACTGCCCAACATACCCCTTCTAGTTCAAAAGGCCCCTGTCTGAAGAGTGCTTGTGATGAGGCGGCAGAGGGATCCTAGTGCGGCCTTGGAGTCTCGCAGGACATTTTAGGGTTTAGGGTTTAGGGTTTAGGGTTTAGGGTTTAGGGTTTAGGGTTTAGGGTTGTTATGTCAACATACAAGCCCGACACAGCCCAAACTCAAGCCCTACACCCCAGAACCCTTAAACCCTTCATGTCAGCATCCTGAAAGCATCCTCAAAGCCACCCTAAACTCGAAACCCTAAGCCCTGAATATCCCTAAACTCCAAACCCCCAAAAATCCCGAAAAAAAACTCTAAAAAACCCCTAAAAAAGCCCTAAAAACCCTAAAAAACACCCTAAAAACCCTAAAAACCCTAAAAACCCTAAAAACCCTAAAGCCGAGGCCCGTCCCTGCGGTGCTGAAGCGGTCCATGTTTGCCCCCCACGGTGCGCAGCTGCGACCACAGTGGGAGCCTGAGGGGGCCAAACGGGGGGGAGCTTCAGGGTCTGGGGGCCCGAGCCCTAAACCCTAAACCCTAAACCCTAAACCCTAAACCCTAAACCCAAAACCCAAAACCCAAAACCCTAAACCCTAAACCCTAAACCCTAAACCCTAAACCCTAAACCCTAACTAAACCCTAAACCCGGGGTTAGGCTTTCGGGCGGGGGTGTAGAGTTTAGGGTTCGGTATCCGGGCCTAGGGTCTAGGGGTTCAGGAAGTGGTGTCTATGACGGTCATTCAGCCATTTGGGCCAGAATTCCAGGTGGTAACCCCTCCGAGCAAGACACTGATCTAGCGGCTTGCAGATCGCGGCCGCACTGGAAGGTTCAGGGTTTAGGGTTTATGGTTTAGGGTTTAGGGTTGAGGGTTTAGGGTTTAGGGTTTAGGGTACCCCGACTACCCTCCTCTATACTACCCCCCGAGGTTTCCCCTAAGGATATTTAGGGACAAATGAGACTAATTCAGGTTATTCACGGGGTAACCTAGCGGGGGGGTAGTAGGGATGCCCATGAAAACAAGATTAGAACCGGTTGCAACTGCAGTCGCCCTGCCTGAGGTACCAGTGAGCCTCCCAGCAGGCATCAACCCGACACATGTATACCCTAAACCCCAAAAACCCTGGACCACATACACCCTAGAAACCCTAGCCCCGCAAACCCCATAAACCCCAGAATTCCAAAACCCCATGAACATAATACACCCTCTTTAGACTCCATAAACCCTATAAACCCTATAAACCGCATCAACCCTATAAACCCTGCAAACCCTATAAACCCACCCCCAATCCCATGAACCTCCAAGCAGGTATGAGCAGGAAGACGAGTGGAATGAGTTCTTGGAGAAGACCGACACCTCCAAGGCGTGGACCAGGAATTCCCAACCCCCGACTCACGACTCAGGAGTTCGCAAGGAATTAGTACGGGGATCAGAGGGTTTAGGGTCCAGGGTTCAGGATTGAGGGTTTAGGGTTGTTAGGCGATTAGGTACCTTTTATCTTCCGCCGACGTAGCCCTTTGAGGGATGATGTTGGGTTCTTTTTGCCTCAAGTCTCTACGAAGAGCCAGTATGTAGCTCTGCTTGGAACTCTAAACGCTGAGCCCTGAAAGAGTAGGTGTCACGCATAAGCAAGTCAATAGAGCAGTAGGTCTTTTGCTAGGGGTAGTTCGCCACAAAAGCCCCTTTGATATTTACACCATATGGAAACTCCGCCCCCCTAAAGTCGACTCCAGGTTGCCGTTGCGCAGTGATACCCTGTTTCCTCAAACCTGGCACCCAGAGTAGGCACTTGTTCCCTTGTTTTGGGGTTTGGGTTCCCTTATACGAGGGCACTTGGGATGTTCCCCCTTATACTAACAGTCCTTCATAGGGATTATAGTACCAGAAAGCACCCGTTTTTGTTTTTTTGTCCTAGGTCACAGTTGGGTTTAGAAACCTCGTTGGTTGAAACATCCGGAGGTCCACGACTTCGGCAGAGTCTCAGCTGAGTTAAAGAACCCTAAACCTGATAGGGTTTAGTTTAGTTTAGGGTTTTAGGGTTAGGATTTAGGGTTTATTTTTAGGGTTTAGGGTTTAGGGTTTAGGGTTTTAGGGTTTAGGGTTTAGGGTGTAGGGTTTAGGGTTTAGGGTTTAGGGTTTAGGGTTTAGGGTTTAGGGTTAGGGTTTAGGGTTTAGAAGTTTAGGGTTTAGGGTTTAGGGTTTAGGCAAAACCCTAAACCCGGAAACTCTAAGCCCTAGAAGGGTTCTGAAGTTTCCCTCATGGTGCTCTGTTGCCCGAACACAGCAGCAAGCCAACCAAAGCCGACGTCACTGCAGCAGCATCATGAGCATAGGGTGCTCCGCAACCCACATGCTTGAGGAACTCACTCATCGTCGTTTCTGAGAAAGGAGTCGGTCCTTCACAGGCTTTCCGCGAGTTGAGGAAGCCACATGAGGCGATAAAGTCTCCTGCAAAGCAGCCAAGGATATTGGTGGACCTATGGCTCCTTGGTAGCAGCTTGCTAGGAGTTCCCTATCGCGGTTCTTGGTCACTTGGGGTGTCATTTGCGTGCTTCCACGCTCAGCACACAAAGTCGGGATTTGCCCAAACGCGCGTTGCAGTCGACACACACGGCTATGCCCCCTCCTACTTGGAGGATCGGCGCACGTAGTAAGTAGTTGTTAAGCAGTATTAAGCAGTGTGAGAACCCCATGGCGAGCCCCTTGCGCAGTACTTCTGATTATCATTTGCGCCTACTGACTAAGTACCCTTATCCTCCTCCTAGTCCTTGTTCGGGGTGCTCGTTTCGTACGCCACACGCCAACTCCCTTGCGTAACACCCCAAAGGCTACTACATTTTTGGGATGATCCGCATTTCACCAACAGTGATTATAGTGGTGGGTACTGTAGTCCATTCAGGACTGTTAATATAAGGGGTATACATTCCAAGAAGTTTCTAAACCTCAAGCCCGAAACCCTAAACTACACATTCCAAGAAGTTCCTAATCCTCAAGCCCATGTGAGGTCGAGATAAAGACGACGATGGCGTCCTGCGCGAAGCCGTCTTTTTGGAGGTCTCGGTGGGCCGCAGGGTTTAGGGTTTAGGGGTTTAGGGTTTTGGGTGTAGGGTGTAGGGTGTAGGGTTCCAAAATCATCATTCTTTGGTTTAGGGTTTGGGTCAGGGGTGAAACTGCCAAGGCCTACAGGGGGCACGCGAAGAAATAATGGAGACCCCCCGGCATTATTTCCCCCACCCAAATAATAATAATGCAAAGGGAAACGATTTAATTATTATTATTATTTGGACCCCCCAAATAATAATAATGGAAAGGGAAACCATTTAATTATTATTATTATTTGGACCCCCCCCCCCACCCAAATAATAATAATAATTGAAAGGGAAACTATTTAATTATTATTATTTGGACACCCCCCCCCCCCCCCAAATAATAATAATGGAATGGGAAACCATTTAATTATTATTATTTAGGACCCCCTCCCCCTCCCAAATAAAACAATGGAATGGGAACATTTAATTATTATTATTATTTGACCCCCCCCCCCCCAAAAAAAAAAAAAAAAATCCAACCCCCCCCCCCCCCCCCTAATAATAATAATGGAAGGGGAAAACCATGTAATTATTATTTATTTGGACCCCCCCCCCCCCCCCCCCAAATAAGACCCCCCCCCCCCCCCCCGCAAATAATAATAATGGAATGGGAAACCATTCAATTATTATTATTTTGGTTTGGACCCCCCCCCCCCCTCTTCCTTCAAAATAGTAATAATAATGGATCGCCCCCCCCCCCCCCCCTCCAAATAATAATATGGAATGGGAAACCATTTAATTATTTTATTTTAGACCCCCCCGCCCTCAAATCCCCCCCCCCCCCCAAATAAATAATAGGGATGGGAAAACCATTTTATAGTATATTTTGGACCCCCCCCCCCCCCCCAAAAAAATAATGGAATGAGAAACCATTTAATGATTATTATTTGGACCCCCCCCCCCCCCCCTCAAATAATATAATGGACCCCCCCCCCCCCCCCCCCCAATCCTCCCCCCCCCCCAAATAAAAATGAAATGGGAAACCATTTAATTATTATTATTATTGGTTTGAACCCCCCCCCCCCCTGGCCCTAGAACAGAGGAGCCTAAAATCATTACCAAGAACAACCACTGAAAACCCCGCAATGATGATACAAACTTTCCAAAGCACCCGTTCAAATTGACCTTAGGCCTATATATGACACGCAAGTCTTGAGCTTCCTATGGGGGCAGAGGAGGAGCCCAGGAACTAGGTGGGTTGTAGAGTCTGGGGCTTAGAGTTTGGGGGGCCTTCGGGTTCAGGGTTACCCCAAACCCCTAAACCCCTAAACCCGTAAACGCCTAAACCCCTAAGCCCCTAAGCCCCTAAACCCCTAGATCCTAAACCCTAAACCCCTAGTCCCTAAACCGTGTTTTAATTCAGGAAGGCTTCTCATCGGCTCAAGCTGTGGCTTTGCTCTGCTCATCCCTTCTCCCGATCCCGTGCCCCGGCGAAGTTCGGCGAAGTTCGGAAGGGGACGGCATGGAGGGCCTCAACCATGGAGACACCGCCTGGATGGCCATGTCCTGTGCGCTGGTGCTCTTCATGACTCCAGGCCGGGCAGGTCTCAAAAGCTCAGATGTCTCTAAAACCCTCAACCCTAAGCTCTAAACCCATATATCATATGTCCCAGAAGCTCCGCGATGGGTGCCATCAGCTTCACTGCAGTCCCACATGCCGCCATATGCTTCTCCTTGCACCCCTCTCCTAAACCGCCCTTGGTTAGTTTTGAGTAAAGGCTCTTGCAGATATATATATATATACTTCCTCTGAGTATAAGCTCTTGCAGATATATACTTCTTCTCCTCAGCCAGGTTTAGCCTTCTTCTACGGCGGGCTCGTGCGCGACAGCAACATCATCAACACGATGCTCGGGCGCATTGCGAGGTTGTTGAAGTCGCATGTCCAGGGTCACTTGCCTATTCCCGTGTAGAAGGATGGTTCGGAGACAGGGGGGGTGGGGGGTTTCAAGAATCCTAAACCCTAAACCCTAAACCCTAAACCCTATCTCCTCAACAGCTTCTAAGGATGATGATGTCCATCATCTCTATGGGACTGACGACACTCACCTGGATGGTTGCTCTGGCTGCAGCAGTCAGAAAGTCAGACAGAGTGTAGGATGAACGGAAGACTTCAAGGGACTACAGGAGGGACATTTACAAGGGACCTGAGGGTTTCTTTGGGGGGCAGTGAGGGGCTACTTAGGTATATAGGGACTATATTTATATGAGGTATATATAAGGGTTATATGGGGCTACTCAGGTATATAGGGACTATATTTATATGAGGTACATATAAGGGTTATATAGGGGAATAAGATTCAGGGTCCGGCTTCCTTCTCTGTGAGGGTTTAGGGTTTCGGGTTTAGTCTTTAGGGCTGGCGTCTTAAAGCCTGCCCTGTAAGGTGCTGGGCTTCACCTGGGCCTTCGACAGCGTCTCGGCTGTAGACAAGGGTTTTTGGGTTTTGGGCGCAGGGATATTAGGAGGGACCTCCCAACCAGGGACCCAGAATACTACTGCCCTATCCCTAAACCCTAAATCCTACACCCTTGTAGATGCCTCATAAAGCCCCTAAGGTTCAAAAGTCGCCCTTGGAGTCCCCCCAATGACACTTGGGTGCCTGAACCGTGGAGTGTAGGGTTCGGGGTTTTGGGGTTTAGGGTTTTGGGGTTTAGGGTTTAGGGTTTTGGGGTTTATGGTTTAGGGTTTAGGGCCAGTTTAGGGTTTAGGGTTTAGGGTTTAGGGTTTTGGGGTTGCAGGTCTTGCAGCCCCTAGGTGCAATTTGGCCTTACAACGTCGCCCACGGCTGGACGTACGTTGGCTTCCGCAACCTCCAAGACAAGGCGCCGTGCTGCCTACTATAGGGGTCGGACTAATTACGAATAGTGTTTCCTCATGGTCCCTTCAGTAGTATACTTCATAACCCCCAAAACCCTATTCTAATGTTTAAGGCCCCTTTATTAGTGCTTTCGAAGGGTAGCTTTGTTCCACCCTAAGCCTTCAGGGTTGAGGGTTGAGGGGTTTAGGGGATTGAGGGTTTAAGGGTTGAAGGGGTTAGGGGTTTTGAGTTTAGGGCTTAAGTCCTGAAGCCCAAGCCCTATAAACCCCAAGCCCTATGAGCCCAAAATCCCCAAACCCTGAACCCTAAACTCTAAACCCTAAACCGCCATTCTCCAACCCAGCACCTGCGTAAACGCAGGTCTGGCCGGGCACCACAATGCCTGGGCTGACCTTCGCAGTCTTCCAGGCGCCTGTTCTCATCATAGCAAAGCCTAAACCCTAAACCCTGAACCCCTAAGGTTGTACCGACCCTCTGCAGATCCCCCCAAACCTCAAGCTCTCTAGGGTTTAGGGTTTAGGGTTCAGGGTCTAGGGTTTAGGGTTCAAGGGACCCTAAACCCTATCGCCAACCAGCCCCTAAAGTCTGCGCAGATGACGTTCGCCATCATCGGGGCGGCGATCATCTCGGGCGCAGTCGTCGAGCGCATCAGATTCTCCGCGTACGCCATCTTCATCGTTGCTCCTGGGCACGGAGCCCTTAGGGACCCCTAGCAGTTTAGGGTTCAGGGTTTCGGGTTTAGGGATTCTGGGACCCCAAGCCCTAAACCACCACACTCTAAGATGCTCTAAATCCTGAGGCGCAGGAACAGCACCTTTACAGTCTCTTTATGAGCTATTCTTTTGTTTATATAATATGACAACGAAAAGGAATGTCAGAAACATGATTCTACGTTCAAACCTCAAAGAAGCCACAAGAACCTACGCAGCAAGCCGCGAATCTTAAGCGTTGGGACCCCAAACCATAGCAGTTTAGGGTTCAGTTTCTTTGGGGACTCTAAACCCTAAATAAACCCCAACACTCTAAGATGCCCTGAATCCCGAACGCAGCATCAGCACCTATACAGAATGTTAGAACCATGATTCTAGGTTCAACCCCCCCAAAAAGCCCACAAGCACCTACGCAGTATACCCCGAGTCCAAAGCCCTAAACCCTAAGCCGCCAAGGCCCCCAAGCCCTAAGACCCCCCGAACCCCAAACCCTCAAGTAGGTAGCCGTGAATCTTCTCGCGTCTATGACTCCCACACACACAAGTGCATCTTTCGCCCTCTGGGAAACATGGGACTTACATATAGCAGGGTGAGGGTGTACCTAAACCCCCAAGCTACCCTTCATGGCCTAAATACCCTGTATCTTTGGAGACTAAACCCTAAACCCCAAACCCTAAACCCTAAAACCTATACCCCCTGGGGTCATGACTTGGGGCTCCTGAAGCCGAAAGGTATGGGTCCTTGCTGTGTACGTGCCGCTGTGCAGCTGGATCTGGGGCGGCGGCTGGATTGCCGAGATGGGGGCCAAGGACGGAGGGTTTAGGGTTTAGGGTTTAGGGTTTAGGGTTTAGGGTTTAGGGTTTAGGGTTTAGGGTTTAGGGTTTAGGGTTTAGGGTTTGGCTGCAGGCTTCCGATCAGTCTGACAGTTTTTGCATGGAAAGTTAGGGTTCAGGTTTGAAGGGCTGATAGGTACCAGAAGTCCATCATATGAAACAGTTTCAGTTTTTTTTCTTTTTTGCTTGTGCAAACTACATAACTGGAGGTTGTTCTATACTACATCAGTGTCCAATCTTGTGTCGTTCTGATTCGTGCAAGACGCCTAATAAGTATCGAGGAGAACCCTAAAACCCTTAAACCCTACTCCCTAATCCCTATAAACCCTATAACCCCGAAACCCCTTTAAACGTACACCCGTTAATCCCTATGCAGCCTAAACCCTAAATGCAAAACTCTATCAGCTCTATAAGCCCGAAGATCCATTATCCAGCTCCTGGCTCGAAGGGTCCATATGGGGGTTTCCGAAATTAGGGGTACCTTGCCGGCGTCCTTACTATAAGGGAATCTTACTCTGTCGCGTCCTTAGTATAAGGGAATCTTGCTATTTTCGGGTCATTCTAGGGGTCCCTTATTTTCGCAAGCTCCCATATGTAAACCCTAAACCCTAAACCCTAAACCCTAAACCCTAAACCCTAAACCCTAAACCCTAGACCCTCAGGACTTTGCTGGCGGTACCGTTGTTCACATCAGCTCCGGCACCTCCGCCATGGCTCTGGCCTGTTACTGGGCCCACGGCTGGGATGACATGGGGCGTTTTACGAACAAGGGGGGGGGGGGGTACCCCTGTTATACCCCCAACATGGAATAAGAAAATCCCCTTAATAGGTACCCCTATTATTCCCCCAACATAGAATAGAAAATCCCTTGAATAGGATCCCTAAAACGGGTACCCCTAAGTTCGGAACCCCAAACTGGGTCTGGGTCTCGCGGGTTTTCGGATTTAAAGGTTGTGCGAGCCCAGAAACCATACTGGTGGAGTCTTGGGGGGCTGGCTACGGTTTAGGGCTTAGTGTTTAGGTTTTAGGTTTTTTCGCTGCGAGTACGCGTCGACCCCCTCCATGAGTGGTTTGGGGGTCGGCGCATGAGCTGCAATGCCCACCCTCCCACCCAAATTACAAACCTTGGACGGTTTTAGGGTTGTCTACCCCCCCTACCCCATGTCAAGGGGGGGATAATATGGTTTGGTGGCCAAGCGCTAGGAACAGGCAAGATTATCCATAGCTTCCGGGAAAGCAAAGAGGTTTGTGTGGTGGGGTGGCCCTTCGGCCGTTTTGGGAATTGTTTCAAGTCCAGTTTTCGGCCCCAGACCCTTAAAAATTCAAGCTCCTTCATTCAAGCCAATTCTTGGCTCCAGACCGTTATGTAATCAAGCCCACTTTAGGCCAGCCCTGAGCCTCACGGCCTTCATTTTCGGCCTAAGCCCAGACTCTCTAATTCATGCCTCCGGGCCTGAAATTTCTATCCCCAAACCCTGAATTTAAGGCTCTGAGCCTTAAGCTTAAGTCTCCAACCCCTGAAGTTGGCCCTAAATTTAGCTCCCCCCTCCGGGGTCTTTTTCAAGTTCCGGGCCTTATTTCAGGTCCCCAGCTGAATTCAAGCCTCTAGGCCTTAGTCAATGCTTCATTCTCTGGTAGGGCATGCGAGGCTGGTACCCTAAACACACTGAGGGTTTGAGGTTTTCGGGTTTGTAAATCTGAGAAGGCCCTCAAAACCCCTAAACAGACGTGGAGTACTACCAGAGCCTGAACTATTACCACTATCATCCCCTTATTGTTTTTTCTAAACTTGTAGCCTTAAGCCCTCAGCCCTTTTTCCTGAGCACTAAAACCTGAACCCTAAACCCTCAACCCTGCCTATGTCTCAGGCTTGCTGGGCGAGCGAAAGCACAGGGTAGAGAGCTTCCCGTCCAACCTCCCCTTCGTCATCCTCGGGGGAGGCAGCTTTGCATGTTTAGGGCCTACGGTCCACGGTGTCCAGGGTCCAGGGTCAAGCTCAAGCCCAACACCCTAAAGCCGTACATCCCAAACCCTAAGCCCTTAAACCTTAGAGGCTTCAGCTCTAAATCCCAAAATCTTAAACCCGCACTATCCTAACATCCTAAATCCCAAACCCGAAGCCCTAAACCCTAACACCCCACATCCCAAAACCCTAGACCCCAAAACCGTAAAACCCTCAACCCTACTAAAGCCCTAAATCCCTAAACCCCTAAACCCCAAATCCCACAACCCTGGATAAACCCTAAACCCTAAACCCTAGCCCTAAACCCTAAACCCATTCTTCTCCCACCTTCAAAGGCATCCTCTGGCTTGGCTGGACTGGATTCAACGGCGGCTCGGCCTTTGCCGCCAACGGCGACTGCGCCCTCGCCATTGCCACCACCTACATCGCGGCGGCTGCCGCGATGGTGCCCTGGAGTTTAGGGTTTAGGGTTTGGGGTTTAGGGTTTAGGGTTTAGGGTTTAGGATTCAGGGTTTAGGGTTTAGGGTTTAGATTTTAAAATTCAGGGTTTAGGGTTTAGGATTTGGTGTTTCGGGTTTAGAATGTAGGCTTTAGGGTTTAGGGTTTCAGGCTTAGAGTCTTTTCGGGTCATACCCTATATATTGGGGTTTAAGGGTTCAGGATTTATGGCTTAGAGTCTTTTTGGATGAAGGGTGTTTGGGGTGGATTGATCAAGGCTTGCTGGATCATTGGGCCTAGACCCCCATGTTCGTAGCTGGACCCTTGTGGGAGGCGGTAGCTAATCTTTTTGTATGGAGTACGACGGAGCATGATACATGAAGAAGCCCTAAACCCTAAACCCAAAGATCCTAAATCCCAAGAGAAGGAGTTACAAGGAAGTTCTCCAGCCTGCATTCGTGACGCAGATGGTCCTACCCAGATGTTGGGTTTAGGGCTTAGGGCTTAGGGCTTAGGGTTTAGGGTTTAGGGTTTAGGGCTCCCCAAAACCCCAGGTCATGTGGATCACCATCGAGCGCATCCTAGAGGGAGCTCCCACTTCAGTCGGCGCAATGTCGGGAGCCGTGGCAGGGCTTGTGACTTGTCTTGGCAATGCGTTTAGGGTTTGGGGTTTAGGGGTTAGGGTTTAGGGTTTAGGGGTTGAGGGTTTAGGGTTTAAGGTTCAGGGTTTAGGGTTTAGGGTTTCTACCAAGTTGTGCTGGTCCAGTGAGAATGAGGCTCAATTTACCGATTGTTCTGGGGGTTCTTTGTCTAGGGGGGGGGTTATGACCTTGGGAGTCGCAGGAATGCGCAGTTGCTTTGATGTTGCTGTGATATGTTAATGTAATTTGCTTTCTTTGGCTTGCTTCTCAGTTCAGCATTCGTTGCTCTCATTTGTCACTGTGGCAGTTGCGAACTGCTTATGGTTTCATATGCATGCGTTGGGTGTGGTAGCGCGATGTGTCGCCCTGTCGCCTGGGGCATGTCCTCTTTGATACAAGTGCTTTGACTTGTTGCTGATTTCAGCCAGGTGCTGGCTGTAGCAGAGGGTTGGTCTTTGCTTTCCAACATTTCAAGCACGTTGCTTGGCTTTCCTTGACACATGTTCCTCGGAGTCTATCTTGCTGTCTTCTCCGTTTTGCCGGGTGTCAACCGGTCTTTGCATGTTGTCATGTGCACTCCTGTGTTTTTTGGACTCGTCTTGTCTGGTAAGTTCATGCTCGACGTTTTGTTTCTTTTGCTGGGTAAAGCATGACATGGCCCGTAAACTAAGACCGTAGTGTTTGTGTGATTCTCGTTGATTGAAATGTTCCATTCGAAGTTGCTTGTGCGTGCTGCGAATCCCTGAACCCCAAGGGAGCGTACCTGGACCCTAAACCCGAGACCCGTAAATCCAAGACCCGAACCCCCCCAAATCCAAGACCCTAAACCCTAAGCCCTACATCCAAGACCTAAACCCCAAACCCTCAACCCTCAACCCTAAACCCTAAACCCTAAACCCCAAACCCTAAACCCTAAACCCTTAGTTCATAGGTGAACATCACCCCCTGCGCTGGCTATGTCGAGCCGCTGGGTGCCCTGGGTGTTGGCGCCTTGGGAGCTGCATGCTCCTCGCCCGGGTTTAGGGTTTAGGGTTTAGGGTTTATAGGGTTTATAGGGTTTATAGGGTTTATAGGGTTCATAGGGTTTATAGGGTTTATAGGGTTTATAGGGTTTATAGGGTTTATAGGGTTTATAGGGTTTATAGGGTTTATAGGGTTTATAGGGTTTATAGGGTTTATAGGGTTTATAGGGTTTATAGGGTTTATAGGGTTTATAGGGTTTAGGGTTTACGTGGGGCTTTGTCGTAGGGAGGTTTATTGGGTTTTTCAGGGCTTAGCAATTGGGGCTTTACAGGGTGTAGTAGGGTTTCGTAGGGTTTGGAGGGTGTAGAGGGGGTTCATGAGGTTTATTTTTCAAGGGTTCAGTACGGTTGGTAGGCTTTTCTGGTTGGGCCAACCATAAACGGGTTTTAGCCAGTTTTTAGGTTCTTCTGGGGTTTGCTAGGGTGTAGTATAGGGTTGGTTTTGTGTCCAGTTTGAGCAGTACATCTTTCCCCATGCGTCTCAGGGTCATGCTTAGCCTTGCGCTTCGTTGTGGTGTTCTCTGAAGTCCTGTAATCCTGTCGGATCCTGCATCATTCGTTGTAGATCAGATCCGGCCGGTCCTCATGTGGGCTAAGAAGTGGGGTTTCATCGCTTGCATCCCCTACGACGCCTAATATGTACACTCACCGATCTTGATGAGGAACCCTATAAACACCCGCCAGAAAGCACACTGAAAACCCAACCTCCTACATCCCCAAAGGCAAATCTAGTCTTTGGACAAGTTTGTAGATCGAGTCTTCAGGTTTTACCCTGATGAAGCCCATGTTCCTAAGCTAAGACGCCTCAACCCTCGAGACCCCAAAGCCCTAAACCCTAGCAGCCCCTAAGCCCTGCAAACCCTACAAAACCTTCTCACCCTATACGCCCTACGAGCCCTAAACGCCCTGGCCCAAAACCTAAACCCTAAACCCTAAACCCTAAATATGAAACCCTAGAACCTAGACCCTAGACCCTAGACTCTAAACCCTAAGCCCTATCTCATCAATAGCATCCCTGTCCATCTTTCACACTTCCTGAGGCTGCTACTTTGCATCCAAGGTCTTGAAGAAGCTCCTTGGGCACACTTCAGACGTTCTGAGAACTGCGAGCCCTAAGGTCCATGTAAAGCCCTCAACCCTCAACCCTCGACCCTAAACCCTAAACCCTAAAGCCTAAACCCTGTACCCAGAGGCTTCTTGCAGCCCAAGAGTACCCCACTTAGGCACAAAAGTCCTTAGGGTATTTAGGCTTCACAAGAGCTCTTGGAGAGGGTTTAGGGTTTAGTGCTTGGGATTCCTAAACCCTAAACCCTAAAACCCCTAAACCCAAAAACCCTAAAACCCCTAAACCCTAAAACCCTAAAACCCTAAAACCCTAAAACCCTAAACCCCTAAACCCCTAAACCCCTAAAACCCTAAAACCCTAAAACCCTAAAACCCTAAAACCCTAAAACCCTAAAACCCTAAAACCCTAAAACCCTAAAACCCTAAAACCCTAAAACCCTAAAACCCTAAAACGGGGCTTCGATCCTGTTTTAGAGTTGGGCAATAGTTTGTAAACCCTAAACCTTAAACCCTAAACCCTAAACCCTAAACCTTTGTGTTTTGTTCGTTGGGGTTTGGGGGGCATTCCCCGATCCCAAGGGCTTAGGGGGGTCCAAGGTCTCAGATTCGAAGTGGCGGGATTCGGGCTTAAGGGTTTAGGGATTTAGGGTTTACGGGTTTAGGGTTTAGGGTTTAGGGTTTAGGTATTTAGGGGTTTAGGGGTTTAGGGGCTTTAGGGGCTTTAGGGCTTTAGGGCTTTAGGGCTTTAGGGTTTAGGGTTCAGGGTTTAGGAACTTAAGGTTTCGGGCTGGGGCAAGGAAGGAGATGCCCCAAAATGTGTCTGCTAGGTCACTCTGGTGAACATGTGGTGTGCAAGCTGACCAGGGATTGAAAGTCCCAGGCATGACCACAAGAGGTTTAGGGTCGAGGGGTTTTAGGGGTTTAGGGTTTTTGGGGGGGTTTTAGGGGTTTTAGGGGTTTTAGGGTTTTTAGGGGTTTTCGGGGTTTAGGGACTTTTTGGGGGTTTTGTGGGGTTTTGGGTTTAGGGGGTGTAGGGCGTTCGGGGTTTAGGGCTTTTGGGTTTTGGGGGGTGTGGGGGTTTTGGGTCTAGGGTCCTGGGGACTTTGGGCTCAGGGGTGTTGGGTATTCTGACGTCCACCAGAAAAGTTTTGTTGACTTCCCCACGAAGCTTGAACACCCGAAGTCCCCCCGACCAACGGCCCCAAGAAGCCCAGACCAGAAGAAACAAGCAAAAACACTGAGCCCGCAATCCTGCACATTCGGCTTCCCGAAGCCACCACCCCCCAAAAAAAGCCCAAAACCCAAGGCCCTCAACCCTAAACCCTAAACTCTCTAAACCCTAAACCCAAAACCCTAAACCCTAAACTCCCTAAACCCGAAGTCCTAAACCCTGAACCCCCTAAGCCCCTAGACATCCCCCCAAAAAAAACCCTCACAAGGCTCGACCTCGTGGACGACTCCCTCGACTGCTTTGCCCTCCACGGCGTGGGCGGCTTCTGCGGAGCCATCCTCGGTGGGTTCTTCGACGTCCAGGCCCCTTTTTTTTTTTTTTTTGGGGGGGGGGGGGGGGGGGTTTAGGGTTTAGGGTTATCGGGTTATCGGGTTATCGGGTCATAGGGTTATAGGGTTATAGGGTTATAGGGTTATAGGGAGGGTTTAGGGTCCAGGGTTTGGGGTTTGGGGGTTTGGGGCACCATAAGGGACCCCAAACATCGGGTAGAGGGTTTAAGGTTTGGGGTTTAGGGTATTCGGATCATGCACCTTGCGCTACTACAGTCACTATATGGGATGTGCACTGCAAACCCTTCTCAGGGTTCAACTCGTCCCAGAATCCTGGGCCCTGAACACAGAAGCCTGGGGTGAGCATGCGCCGAAGGCGTCCATGTCGCGGTCATTGATGCACCCCTGAACTTTGAAAATCGTAGGCCCTACGCCCTAACTAAGCCCTAACCCTAAAACCTAAACCCTGAACCCTAAACCCTTAAACCTTAAACCCTAAACCCTAAACCCTAAACCCTAAACCCTAAACCCTAAACCCTAAACCCTAAACCCTAAACCCTAAACCCTAAACCCTAAACCCTAAACCCTAAACCCTAAACCCTACCCCCCCGTACATAGCCTATAAGCCACCAAGACGCGCATCATGCCAACCCGCAGCAGCGAGAACCCGAGCCCTCAAGTCTTCAGAGCCCTAAACCCTTGGGTTTTAGGGTTTAGGGTTTAGGGTTTAGGGTTTTAGGGTTCTAGGGTTTTAGGGTTTTAGGGTTCTAGGGTTTTAGGGTTTTAGGGTTTTAGGGTTTTAGGGTTCTAGGGTTTAGGGTGTAGGGTTTAGGGTACGCCCTTGGGACATGTTATACTTTCCCTTATTTGGGTTGAAGAGGATCATATTCAAGAATGTTTTTCAGAGGGCTTTAACACGGCCATCCTAGTGACCCTAACTTAGGGTTTAGGCTGTAGGGTTTTGCAAGCCCTGAAAGCCCTCAACCCAAGTATCTTGATGGCTGGGCCCTCGACTCCCTCCGTGTCCGACCCCAGGCCCCAAAAGCCTGAGCCAATAAGGGCTAAACCCTAAACCCTAAACCCCAAACCCCAAACCTAAACCCTAAACCCCCCCTCGAGGACGGCCTCATCTACAGCGGCGAGAACTTGCTGCTGCTGAGGAGCTTCGGCCAAGCCATCGAATCGCACGGTACTGTGAAAGCCCCCTTCGAAGCCCTGTTTAGGGTTTAGGGTTTAGGGTTTAGGGTGTAGGGTGTAGGGTTTAGGGCCCCGAAGCTCTGGGAGAACCACCCCTAGACTCTAAACCCTTAGGGTTCGTCGGCCTGCCGGGATGCGTGGGGCTCTGGGTTTGTGGGCTGGGCACCCAAACTTAAAGATCCGTAATTTCAGATTTCGTAAGGTGGATCCCTACCCAAAACCCTAAGCCCTAAACCCTAAACCCTAAACCCTAAACCCTAAACCCTAAACCCTAAACCCTGAACCCTGAACCCTGAACCCTGAACCCTAAACAAGCTCCATACCTTAATTTGCGAAACCCGTAGAAGTCCTAAGCTTGACACCCTCAAGGGGGCCGGGTCGGCCTGTCCTCATGGGAATTTCCGCCTTGGGCCCCTAAGGGTGTACCGGGAACCCTAAACCCTAAACCCTAAACCGTGTTAAAGACCCTCGGAATATCAGGGCCATATTTCGGAGTATGTTGAGGGAACCTCCTAGGGGTACATCCTTAGAGGTCCGAGTATGACTCCCTTGGTCTCCATCTGTGGGTTCGACGTATCTACTGGGTACATGGGCCATGTTTGGTGAGCCTCTGAGGGGCTGAAGGCTGAATGTTTTCCAGGTTCATGGTCTAACAGTTTCGGTTGATGAGGATGGAGCCACTCGGTTTTTGTGTAAAGAGGCGGACAGATATCCTGGCTTCACAACTCAGGCCTTCGAGGGTTTCAGGCATATTTACGGCATACTTAAGGCATATTTAAGGCATATTTAAGGCATATTTAAGGCATATTTAAGGCATATTTAAGGCAGACAGGGTTCGGGCTTTGGGTTGGAGACCTCTAGACCCCAAACCTTACACCTGAAACCGCCGCTTCGGCGATGTCAGCTCTTTTTTTCTCCCAAGAAGCCTACCCCCGAACAACCCCTAAACCCTAAACCCTAAACCCTAAACCCTAAACCCTAAACCCTAAACCCTAAACCCTAAACCCTAAACCCTAAACCCGAACAACCCTGGCTGTCAGGAATCTGGGGGGAGCCGCCTTCGGCGTAGTCTACTCTGCCGCCGTCACCGCGATCATCTTCTTTGTGATGAGGCCGGCGCGCCAGGGGAATCAGAGCTTAGGATCTGAGGGTTTAGGGTTTAGGGTTTAGGGTTTAGGGTTTAGGCATACAAGGTTTTTGGGGTTTACTGCAGTGTTCATACAGGGTCTTCGGGTGGAAGGTTTTAAGGTTTTAGGATTTATGTAGGGTCTTGGGTCTTTAGGGTGAAAAATGTATGGTCTATAGGGTTTAAGCTTATTCCTGGGGTTTCGAGCGTTTTTGGTTTTATAGTTGAGAGTTTGGGGCTTCCAACGTTTAGATGCTTTTAGGCTCTAAGCTTAGGGCTTATAGGATCCCAGGGTTCTGGGTTTAAGTAGACGAAAGCCAAGACCACGACCAGACGGTCTTAGGGTCTAGGGATTTAGATACTTAGGGCGTAGTGTTTTAGGGATTTCATGGTGTAGGGTTTGGGGTTCATGGCTCGGCGGGTGGAGATAAGTTCTAACAGTTCGGCGGTCAATTAGGTAACCTTTACCTTCATTGCGTTTTTGGGTGGGGGGGGGGTCCTCTAATGCTCATATATTCCGAGAAGGTTACGCCTTCATAGTTTCCTAGGAAACGTGGAAAGTATAAGCATACTCTAAACCCCTAAACCTCTAAACCCTAAAAGCCTAAAACCCCTAAACCCCTAAAACCCTCATCGCTCCGCGCATTTTTTTGCTTGTCGAGGTTTCGGGTTTATGGGGCCTGCGCCTTCGAGGAAGCCCGATAAGCCTATAAACAACAAGCCCCTAGAATTAGGGTTTTGGGTTTAGGGCTTCGGGTTTCGGGACGCGCTCCTAAAGCCCGACAATCCCTACATTAGCCCTACAAATGCGACAAGCGCCGATGAGGCTCCTAAACCCCCAGAGCCCAAAAACACCCTCCAAATCATAGGCAGCCCCCTTAAGCCTACGGACACCCCTAGTTGCCCCCCCAACCCAGTTGCGCCCTGTGAAATCCCCAAACCCTAGACCGTATAGATTCAACCAACCCGAAACCCCGCCACAAAAGGCCTAAACCCAAATCCTGGACCTGAACCCCACAGACTCAGAAGCCTTCCGAAACCCTAAAGCTTGAGCCCTAAACCCGAAAACAAGATCCTAAGGCCAGAAAGCCTGAACCGAAACCCTCAACCCTCAACCCTCAATCCTCAACCCTCAACCCTCAACCCCCAACCCCCAACCCTCAACCCTCAACCCTCAACCCTCAACCCTCAACCCTAATTAAACCCTAAACCCAAAACCCTAAACCCTGGCCTCCGACTGGAGGATCGCCATGCGTATGCGGGTCAGCGAGGAGCAAGAGCTGGAGGGCGTGGACCTCCACTGCCACTCTGAGGCTGCGTAGGGTTTAGGGTTTAGGGTTTAGGGTTTAGGGTTTAGGGTTTAGGGTTTAGGGTTTAGGGTTTAGGGTTTAGGTTTTAGGGCTTAGGGTTTTCTTGTTGTGATGTTCCCCCCCTTATACCAACAGTCCTTAGTAGGGAGTCTAATCAGGAGTACTCTAATCCCTATTCACGGGGAACTTCCCAATTTTGTTAACTTAATATTCTGCGCGAACTATAATGGCAAGCCCAAGGTTTGAACCCCAGGAAGATGATTATTAGGTATAGGGTTTAGGGTTTAGGGTTTAGGGTTTAGGGTTTAGGGTTTAGGGTTTAGGGTTTAGGGTTTAGGGTTTAGGGTTTAGGGTTTTCCTGAGATTGCCTTTTTTTGCTGGGCCCGTAATATGAACCGTCATCAGTTCGGGCTCCTTGTGGAACGGGAACTGCCCTTTGGCAATGTGTTTCGGTTCTAATGTGGATGGGGGGTTGGGTGGGGGTTAGGGGGGTTTACAGCCGAATCTTTTCAGTTTCGGCTATAACGTGGGGGGGGGGGGGGTTGTAAAACAAAATCTTTTTCGTTTCGGTTCTGGTGTGGATGGGGCGTTGGGTGGGGGTTGGGGGTTACAGCCGAATCTTTTCTGTGTGGGTTACCTTCTTTGGTAGGAATCTAGAATCCTGAGTTCGACCCTACACCCTACAAACCCCCATAAGCCCTTTCGACTTTCGACCCTATTCGAAGCCCTACTTAGAGAAACCCTTAACCATCCCAACCCTAAACCCTAAACTCATGAACCGCAAACCCTGTTTAAACCCTAAGCCCTGAACCATAAACCCGAAACCCTGTAAACCCGAAACCCTAAACCCCAAACCTATAAACCCGAAACCCTAAACCCCAAACCCTAAACCTCCCAGAAAGGTGGCCTACGGCAAGAAGGAGCACTCTGGGCGGCCGATGGGCTTCGGTGAGCATTCGCAGCGTTACAAGCCCCAGGCTTGTGAAGGGCTAAACCCTAAACCCTAAACCCTAAACCCTAAACCCTAAGGGGTTTCCTAGACTTTGGTCTGGTCCATGGATTTAAAGGCGTTTGGGTTTCTTAGACTTCTTGTTGGGGTTCGTGGTGAACCCTGCGCCCCGGAGCCCGTAAACCTTGAGACCCCTAAACCCCAAACCCCAAAAACCGCAAGCTCTGCTCAAATTTACACTGTCCCAAGCCCCACAACCAGAAATGCGGCGCTCCGAAAACCTTCAGATCGGCGCTTAGGGTTTTAGGGTTTAGGGGTTAGGGTTTTAGGGTTTTAGGGTTTTAGGGTTTTTGGGTTTTTGGGTTTTTGGGTCGTTGGATCTGGGGTTTGCGGTTTAGGGGTTAGGGTGTCGGGCCCTGCGCAGCGCTTGGCCTGAAAGTCCCTTTGCCCCCCAAGACTGCGACGGATCTCGACTGAGGTATGTGGCTGAACATGATGTTAGGACAGGGTTTAGGGTTTAGGGTTTAGGGTTTAGGGTTTAGGGTTTAGGGTTTAGGGTTTAGGGTTTAGGGTTTAGGGTTTAGGGTTTAGGGTTTAGGGTTTAGGGTTTAGGGTTTAGGGTTTAGGGTACCCTTGAATTGAAAGGTTTGATGTAAGGAATATGGGGGGTTTGCGAGAATAATAAGGGACCCCGAATACAGACCCCCCAAATAGCAGGATCCCGGTCCTACAAGGACCCCAATAAGGGTACCCCTCATCTCGTGCACCCCCCCCCCATGTAGTCTACGGATCCATCGCATAACTTGAGCATCGGCAAAAGTATGATATGGATGCCTGGTGGAAGGCCCCCAGCCCTGAAACCTCAACCCCTTTTGGGATCAGAGCATGGAAACACATTCCTTCATTGTAGAAGTCTCAGGGGTATGTAACCCAAAGGCTCCCGAAGCTTCCCTAAGGTTTTCTAGGTACCCAGCCCCCATGAACCCCCCTCCCTTAAGAACCCTATGCCTTCAGTACGGGCCCAAAGCAAACTCTTTGGTCTCCTAAACCTTCAAGCCCGAAACTCTACAGCCCGTTGGACCCCTAAACCCTAAGCCCTATGCCAGAAACCCCAAACCCTAAACCCTAAACCCTGAACCCTGAACCCTAAACCCTTAAACCCTCAACCCCGAACCCTGAACCCTGAACCCTAAACCCCTAACCCCTAACCCCTAAACCCAAAACCCTAAACCCTAAACCCTAAACCCTAAACCGACCCTTCAGTCTTCTGTGTGAGGCCCCCACGCTGCTCACCGGCACGTCCGCGGGGACGGCGGAGCCGAAGCCGCGCCGCCTTGCCTGACCTACATATTCGGGGGGGGGGGGGGGGGGGGTTTAGGGTTTTGGGGTTTAGGGGATTAGGGGTTTAGGGCTTAGGGTTTAGGGTTTAGTGTTTAGGGGTTTGGGGTTTTAGGGTTTAGGGGTTTAGGGTTCAGGGTTTAGGGTTGAGGGGACTAGGGTTCCGGGAATTAGGGGTTTTAGGGTTTAGGGCTTTAGGGGCCCTGCCTGACCTACATACTGAGGGTTTTGGGGTTTAGGTGATTAGGGGATTAGGGTTCCAGGTTTAGGCGTTTAGGGCTGAGGGTCTTTAGGGGTTTTCCCTGACCTACATATTGAGGGTCTTGGGGATTAGGGATTAGGGTTTTGGGGTTTAGGGCTTTGGGAAGGGTTTTAGGATTTAGTGTAGAGGGTTAGGGTTCAGGGATTTAGGCGCTTAGGTTTTAGGGGTTTGGGGTTCAGGGTCTGAGGGTTTTGGGGTTTTGGGTTTTCGGGTTTAGGGATTGGGTATAGGGAGGGGTTTAGGGTTTAGGGTTTAGGGGTTTAGGGATCTAGGGTTTAGGGTTTAGCGCTTCAGGGCTTGCAGGGTTTGAGGATTCTTTAACTTGGTGTTTGGTAGGATTTTCACGAGTGGTGATGAGTGTATACATGGGTCGGCTTTTTTAGGGGAATCTCGGACTCAACCAGGTCAACTTATCCGGGCAGTTCTTTGGATTCTGACCCCCCTTGCTTGATTCCCTATCGAAGATGGCACCCTCAGTTGTCATAAGAGCTTTTGATTCAAAGATCGTGGGTTTCGAGCTAAACCCTACACACTGGCCCCAAACCCTAAACCCTAAAACCTAAACATGTAGGTACTCAAACCCTACACTCTGGCCCTCAACCCTAAACCCTAAACATGTAGGTACTTAAACCCTGCACTCTGGCCCTAAACCCTGACCCTAAAAATCGCTAGTGGGAGTGTAGGCTTTGCGAAGTGCTTTGCCTCCCCCTACTAAGCCTCATGCCAAGGCATCGAAGAAGCGACCGTTTGAGTTTCAGGAGTCGCGGCGGCATTTGGGGGCTTGGGGTGGTGAAAGTGGGTTCGGGCTTAGGGCTTAGGGGGCGAGACTCATCCTGCCACTTGGCGCTTGTGGCCTTCTTGTCGCCATGGGTTGGATGCAACACTTTTCTTCTAAGCCCTAAACCCGGAACCCTGTAAACCCTAAACCCCAAACCGTAAGGCTTTGATGGCGGGGAGTGCGGGAAGTTTTCCAAGTTTTTTTTTTTTTTTGTTTTTTAAGGGGGGGGGTGTCAGTTGCGGTTTAGGGTTTAGGGTTTGGGGTTTAGGGTTCAGGGTTTAGGGTGTTTGTAGGGTTTAGTGTTTAGGGTTTTATAGGATGGTTCAAGGTTTCGGGTTCAGGGAATCAGGCCGCTTTGATGAAGGTTTCGGGGCTTCAGGAACGTAGGTCGGGGTCGACCTTTATACAGGCGCAGTGCATGTCGAAACCCGTGCAGTGAAGAAGGGATAGAGTTTTAGGGTTTAGCGTTTAGGGTTTAGGGGTCCACGAAGCCTCTGGCCAGTCCGTGTCCTAAGCCCCAGAACCCAAACGGCCCCCAAATGCTTCCGCCAGACCTAGAATGCCCCGAAACCCGAAGCCCTAAACCCTATAAGCCCTAAACCCTAAACCCTAACCCTACACTCTTACCGACCGGCAATCTTCCGTACAATCTATCCCAGGTCGTTCGTCAAGCAGAGTGCCTCAGAGCCACTGCGTCGGGGCAAGATGCCTCTTGATCCGGTGGTGTGCGCTATGACTTGGGTGGCGAGGGCGCCGGGAACCCTAACCCCTAAACCCCAAACCCCAAACCCTAAACCCTAAAACCCTAACCCTAAACCCTCAACCCCAAGCTCAACTCTGGACCGAAAGCTTCCAGAGAGAGTTGCATGACATGTTTTATTGTCCCCGCCGGCCGAAAGTTCCGACTTTCGGGCGTGACGCGGCTTAGCAGATATGGGCACTGGCCTGCGCAGAGCTGCTATGACATGACAAGTTTGCAAGAGTGCATGGGGCCGTTCATCGGCCTCTCTTACGCGAAGCCGCTGCCCATATGCGTCCTTAATGCATCGCGCGACGTCCTAAGGGGGGACCCCTGGGCAGTCTCGTCCTGCTGCACATGACAGCAGCTTCTTAAAGCCAAGGCGGACCTCTGCGACCACTTGCAGGACGTCCCGGCAGCAAGAGACTGCCTGCGTGGAGGGCTTCCCTAAACGAGGGTGTCCTTGACTTTGTGGTTCTTTACTGTAACTTTAGATGTTTAGCCTTGTTGGGTTTACTGGGTTTCTTGTTATAAGGCAGCAAAAAAGTAATTTATAAGCTACCCTACGAAGTGCAGCCAAGTTCAATGGATAAAGTATACCGACGACAATGTAAGGAGTAGCCTTTGTTTCTGCGATACTCCACGAAAAGGGCCCCACAATTTTAGAACAACTCCCATGCATATGTGGGTATTTCCCAAACTACGGGTACCCCTTTTATACCCCAAATAGAGTAGAAGGAGCCCCTTATAAAGGGAACCCCTAGAAAAGGTGCCCCGCCTATTTTCGGAAACCCCCCCGTGTGAGCCCTGCAGATACCAGAGGCGGAAGAGGCCGCCAGCTCTCTAGAGCGCAAAGAGCATGCGGAGACAGAAGCGGCTTAAATCAAGTTACCTTCATCGGGTTATGTAGCAGCATTACGGTTTTTGCGGCTCGGGCTTTAGGGGGTGTGGCAGTGGGGTTGAGGGTTTGGGGTTTGGGGAGTTCAGGAACATGCTTTCAAGAGCATGGCTTCTCCGAGTCCCTGCAAACTATACGATGAAGAACCCTAGACCCTAAGCCCTCAACCCTACACCCTAAACCCTAAACCCTAAACCCTAAACCCTAAACCCTAAACCCTAAACCCTAAACCCTAAACCCAAACAGCCCGAAGCTCCCTAAGCCCTCAACCCTCAACCTTCGCTCAGCAGCAGAATTCTGCACACCACTCAGGGCGGAGTTGAGCACAGGTTGCACACGTAGGGTTTAGGGTTTAGGGTTTAGGGTTTAGGGTTTAGGGTTTAGGGTTTAGGGTGTAGGGTTTAGGGTTTAGGGTTTAGGGTTTAGGGTTTGTAGTTTATTGGGTTCAGGGTTTAGGGTTCAGGGTTACGGTTTAGGATTGTGGAAGCAAGCCGCCACGAAGGGGCTTAGGTCGTCGAAGCCTCTTAGGCCCCAAGCGTGATCTCCTCCCACCCTAAACCCTAAACCCTAAACCCTAAACCCTAAACCCTAAACCCTAAACCCTAAACCCTAAACCCTAAACCCTAAACCTCTTCACCTTCTGCCTCAGCACCGCAAGCCTGACGGCAAGCAGGTCCCTTTGAGAAGAGACGTCGAAGCCAGGCAGATACGCGCTCACTTGAGCATGAGGCTTGCCGCCCCCCCCGCCCTGCAACCTTCAAACCCCAAACCCCCAAAAAATGTCCAAACCAAACTCCTCAACCCCTTGGCCTTACGTCCTTTAGCCCTAAACCCTAAACCCTAAACCCTAAACCCTAAACCCTAAACCCTAAACCCTAAACCCTAAACCCTAAACCTTAAACCCTAAACCCTAAACCCCAAACCCAGCACTCTGTCACCTTCAAGGCTAAACCCTCAGCCCGACCTCGAATCGAAGCGGGTGTTCACATGTGGCACAGATTAGAAGGCCACTTCTCCCATCCCTCTTGCGACTCACCACCAGTTAGGGAGTAGGGCCTAGGGACGAAGGTTTAGGGTTTAGGGTTTAGGTTTAGGGTTTAGGGTTTAGGGTTTAGGGTTTAGGGTTTAGGGTTTAGGGTTTAGGGCTAGGGCCTAGGGACAAAGAAGAAGGCCTGTCAGCCCACCGTAGGTTAGCACAAGGAATGCCCGAAACGCCACATTCTCATGGTCGCAACGACCGCCGAAGCCCAGCCCATGAGAACCCTGACTTCGGCATAGGGGGCACAGTGAATCTAGGGAGGTGCTGCAGGCGGGAATTGAAGGGCCCAGGTCAAGGGACCGTGTATAAGCCCTAAACCCTAAACCCTAAACCCTAAACCCTAAACCCTACACCCTAAACCCTAAACCCTAAACCCTACACCCTAAACCCTAAACCCTAAACCCAACGAAGCGGAGGCAGCTCAAACTGGTCGTGCACGGTGACACCGTCCTAGAGGAGGAGAACCCTTCGGTTTTTCGTAAATGGGTGGGTAGTTTAGGGGTTTAGGGGTTTGGGGTGTAGTGTAGGGGTTTAGAGGTTGTTGGAGTGTTTAGGGTTTTCGGGTTGGGTTGGGTTTAAAGGGGGTTTAGGGTGTGGGGTTATGGGGTTGGGGGGTTGAGGGTGGCTTCATAGTCTGCCAGGCCAGGGCTGATAGCTGTGGGGGCAGTTCTCTAAGGTCCAGGAGCAGGCTTTTCGGAATTTCTAAACCTTAAGCCCCAAACCCTAAACTCTTCTTGCAGACCTGAGTTGGCCCTCAAAAGCTGGAACTCCGTAGGAGCAGAAGGGCGCATGCGCATGTACCAGGGCTTGCAGCTTTAGTAGCTTAACCTCCTGGGGTACATATCGTCCCACCATAGTTTCAAGGTTAGCCTTTTTTTTTGCCCAGAGTACTCAGCAACTAGGAACCTTAAGCCCAGCCAGTCTCAGCAACGCTTGTAAGTTCGGGAAACACCTTACCCCTAAACCCTAAACCCTCAACCCTAAACCCTAAACCCCAAACACAAAAGCCAAGGATTTGGGCTTTAATGCTCGAGTGACCCTGCAAGCAGCGAAGCAAAGTCCTAAACCCTGAGCCCTAAATCCTAAACCAACCCAAAACCCTAAACCCTAAAGCCCTAAAGCCTAAACCCTAAACCCTAAACCCTAAACCCTAAACCCTAAACCCTAAACCCTAAACCCTAAACCCTAAACCCTAGCCCTTAACCCTAAACCTGGAACCCCAAACCCTGCCAGGATTTTGAAGACTGCAAGTGGCTGAACGTCAGCGAGTCCTACTGGGAGATTGCCCCTGTCCTGAATGATCAGGGCAGTACCAGTGCAACCCCAAACCCTGAACCCTGGCTTTCAGGCGATATAGGGGAGTAGGACAAGATCTTTAAGTTTAGGGTTTAGGGTTTAGGGGTTCAGGGTGCTGTGTATCACGGCTTCACCGCCTGGGCGAGCGCGCCCACCTCGCACCCAGGAGGTCAAGGAGGTGAAGAAGGTGCGGCGAAAAGTTTTGAGGCCGGTAGGGGGGTCTAGGGTTTAGGGTCGAGGGATGTAGTGTTCGAAGGGGGGCACAAAGTCCTGGGGTGGTCGAGATGATTGAGCGCACGACATGTAGAGTTCAATTCCGTTTGGGTTCAAATACCCTACACCCTAAACCCTATAACCCTAAACCCTAAATCCTCAACCCTAAATCCTAAAACCTAAACCCTAAACCCTAAACCCTGGACCCTGGACCCTGCGGACCCTAAACCGCGAGAGCTCCGCCCACAAGAGGAAGAAGTGAAAGTCAGCATGTAGAAATGTACTGAATGAGGCAGCCCTTCAAGTCCAAAGCACCGGAACTCTACCAAGGCGAATCACACGGTTTGGTGGTTTAGGGTGATGACCAAGGTGCAGGCTTCAGGGTTCACAGCTTACAGGGTTTAGAGTTCAGGGTTTAGGGTTTAGGGTTTAGGGTGGGAGAGGTACGTTCTCTACATCCTCATGGAATGCAGGGCCCCGAGACGACATGAGCAGCGATCGCAGGCGTTCAGAAACCCTAAACCCTCAACCCTGACCCCAAAATCCGAAGCCCTAAACCCTGATTCTCATTAAATAGGCCCCTCCATCAGTGTCTACCCCTAAAGCCTAAACCCTAAACCCTAAATTCATGAATTATGTTTCAATTTTGACGGTCTTATGGCCTTGAAGGCCCATCAAGCCCTAAGTCCTACCTAAACCCTCAACCCTTTAGGGTTCAGGGTTTAGGGCCTAGGGTTTAGGGTTGGGGTTTAGGGTTTAGGCTTAGGGCTTAGCACTGAGGGCTTAGG